ATGTTTGTATGTTTGTGTGTGTGTATGTTTGTATGTTTGTGTGTGTGTATGTTTGTATGTTTGTGTGTGTGTATGTATGTTTTGTGTGTGTGTATGTATGTTTTGTGTGTGTATGTTTGTTTGTGTGTATGTTTGTAGGCATGTAAGTGGCACGCGTGTGTGCGTGTCTGTGAATAGAGAATTTGAAAAAAGATTTTTTTTTAATTTAAAATAAAGTGATTGTAGTTTTATTATTCGGAAATTTAATTCAATCTCACCACCATCATCATCATCGTCGTCATCATCATCATCATCATAGTCATCATCGTCATCATCATCCTATTCATCATCGAACCATAACATCATTAATATTATTTGCAAGGTGATTAAAAACTATCAATATTAAATGAAGATTTATTTTACTATTTTGTTGCTATCTCTTTTTCATTGGCTCGTTCGTTCCTTGTTCGTTCCTTGTTCGTTCCTTGTTCGTTCGTTCGTTCTTTTATTTTTTTCATTATTGTTTAGATAAGTATTATTTAACCCTTCATTTCTTGTACCATCTAAACAGACGCAAACAAACAAACAAACCAACATACAAAAATGCAAACACAAACATCCATAACTAAACATCCGCGAACATAAACAAAACAGCTATTGTATCTATTTGTATTTTTTATTCTTTGTCAGTCGCAGTTTATTTTATCGGCCAGAAAGATCAGAAGAACGAGGATGTATCAGTTGTCGTGGAGACAAAACAAAACCCCATTTTGTATTTGTTATTGTTGCTGTTGTTGATGTTGCTGTAGTTGTTGATGTTGTTGTTGTTGTTGTTGCTGTTGATGTTGTTTTTGTTGATGTTGTTGTTGTTGCTGCTGCTGTTGTTGTTGATGTTGCTGTTGTTGTTGTTGATGTTGTTGTTTATATCAGGTTACGACCTAGTTCGCGTTTGTTAAGAGGTGCTTAGATTTGCTTTTGTTGCTTTTGTTGTTGTTGTAAACGTCAATATTGTTGTTTATAAGGCTAATTGTAATTATGTGGCGGCAACATCGAAGTGATCAGCAACGACATCAATAAACAACAACCTCAACAACAACAACAACAACAACCTCAACAACAACAACCTCAACAACAACAACAACCTCAACAAC